ATAATGGCTGATTTCACTGGACTTTTACCTACATGTAGGATGAAGACAAATGCTAGAGACCAATGGAAAGTTAAATATCAGTTATCAGTTCCCCTTTATATAAAGGGTAGCCGTAAAGTTTGGAAACAGGATACTATTTTATTTTTTTACAGATTCATATTGTTATTTTATGTTATATTATATACCAACTTTACAGACAGAACCCCTCTGATTACTTGCTTCTTCTGGAGTATGTTAAAGATATAGGTTTATTTATTTTTAAAGATTTTATTTACTTGAGAGAGAAAGAGCGAGCTAGCACTAATTGGGGTGAGGTGCAGAGGGAGAGGGAGAAGCAGACTCCCTGCTGAGCAGGGAGCCCAATGTGGGGCTCCATTCGAGGACTCTGGGATCACCACCTGAGCTGAAGGCAAACACTTAACTGACTGAGCCACCCAGGCGCTCCATGGTTTATTTAGTAAAAATGAGAGAAGTCAACCGAGACAACACATTGAACGTGCTTCTGCTAGGATTAGGGAAAATGTGTTACTAAACCACACTCACTGCAACACGAACTATGCATCGCCACAAGGGATAACAAACACACTTACCATATCAGGTAATATCATGGAACATACCATAACACACTTACCATATCAGGTAATATCATGGAACATACCATGTATCATAACGGTAAAACAAGAAACCATTTATTATGTATATTCACCTGTGTTTCCTGAATTTATGGCCAAGTTATAAAACTGTCTAATACTGTTTTATGCATGCCCCTTTGTAATTCCATAGGGTCACTTTAGCTTTTCTAGGATATAATAAAATTCCTTAAATTTAATTTGACCCAGATTTAATCTTTAACGTCAAAAAAAGGGGGTTTTTCATTTTGACGATTTTGATTTGACACAAGTGAACTTCTGGAGAATTTGGTCTTTTTTGCATCTACAAGGGTAAAACAGTTGCCTGATTTTTGGCAGTTAAAATCTGTGCACACTATGCAGCTACACAGCAATAGACATGCTCTTTGCTGTATACCCCCAAGGACTTGTTTTGTCAGTGCAGTCCTAGTGGTAGGTTGGATGCCACTTCCAAGGGTACAAGTTTTGGGACCTTGTAAGAAGAGAAATTCTCAGGGGCGCCTGGGTGGCTCAGTCATTAAGTGTCTGCCTTCGGCTCAGGTCATGATCCCAGGGTCCTAGGATCAAGCCCCACATCAAACCCCACATCGGGCTCCCTGCTCAGCGGGAAGCCTGCTTCTCCCTCTCCCACTCCTCCTGCTTGTGTTCCCTCTCTCGCTGTCTCTCTCTGTCAAATAAATAAATAAAATCTTGAAAAAAAGAGAGAGAAATTTTAATGAAAGATGTCACTTCCTAAAGACTTTATTGCATGCACCTTCAGGGACAAACCAAAGCTCACCCTAAAGGCTTTCTTAGGAAATGCTCAACCATCCAATCTTTTTTTAACATTAATATTAACCTGTATGATATTACTGAGTTTCTTATATTTACGATAAGGTGGATTTTAAAAAATGCAAAATTAAACTATGAATAGTTTAAAGAAACACAAAGGAATAGTCATAAAGCCTGTAGGCTCTTTGCAGTCAGGAATAATGCTTCTTATCCAGCAATACATATAGAAGACATTAACTAAATATTATAATAATTATTTGATTGATGGCAATATTGATTTACCATGATATTTTTCTTCCAAGTTAGTTTTCACATTAATAAATCAATGCTGTGTGTGATAGGACAGTTTTCAATAAGCTTAGATAATTTAGCCTAGGTATATATAGGCTTCTTGGCTAAACTGTATTAAACAACAAAAAACAGTGAAAACATGTAAAAAATATTTTACAACCAATTTTTCCTTTGAATATTGACTACATGGACAAAATGAGTATTTTGGGAGGTGGGGGACCAAGAAAAACCTTTGTCATTATGTAGCTTTACAGGGTGTGCACATATTGCCTGTCAAATAATCAGTGCTTTCCTTTCCCAGAGGTGAAGACACTTAATTCTTCAAAAGTATACCTGAAAGACAGAATGTTGTGGCCAACCTGTTTTTTCCCCACAAGTTTGATCTGTCTCTAAGTTTACCAAGTTCATGTTTGTCTGCCAGGTAAGTAAGTTAAACACAGGAAACAATCATCATTAAACACTATTCCTACTGTATTGAGAATTTCTTTCAATTCAAAATAGGCACATGCATTTCAAAAAGTGAGCTGTTAAAAATGGGGCAAATGGGTATCTGTTCAGGTGGAAGCGTAGTAGCACTGGGTATCATCCCCTGGTCACTGGGGATTCCTCATTTGTCCAGTGCTAGAGCTGGACCACATGATCCCTTCTGCCTGTCAAAGGTTACAGTTATAATTTATCACATCTCTTATTGATTTTTTGTTTTCCAGTATCTTTTTTTTTTTTAAAGATTTTATTTATTTATTTGACAGAGAGAGAGATAGCGAGAGCAGGAACACAAGCAGGGGGAGTGGGAGAGCGAGAAGCAGGCTTCCTGCCGAGCAGGGAGCCCGATGTGGGACTCGATCCCAGGACCCTGGGATCATGACCTGAGCCGAAGGCAGACGCTTAACGACTGAGCCACCCAGGCGCCCCTCCAGTATCTTTTAATGTAAATTTTTTAAACATACAGAGAAATTGGAAGTAATGTACAATGAACACCCATCTCTACCTACCATGTAGAGTCTATAATTAACATCTTGGGATACTGGATTTGTTACATGTATATCCAGCTATCCATCTCTCTATCCATCCTTCAATCCATCTTTTAAAATGTACATTTCAAAATAAGTTACAGATTATCAGTATACTTCCTCCTAAATACATCAGTGTGCATAGCATTAACTGGACGTCAGTTTTGCTTACAGTTGTTTTTTAGGTTAAATCTTTTATTTTTAACATGAATGTTTTCTTTCATAACATTTATCTTGGTTAGCAACTATGTACACTTTGGTATATTTATTTGGTCAATGTTTGCCTCCCCCTTGAAGGCAACAGGGACTGTGCCGTTTTGCTCACCAAGATATCCACAGGGGCTGGTATTACAGTAGATGCTCAATATACAGTATATTTGTTAGGGAACATATGGGAAGTCAGAAAGAAATGGATGGGGCTATAGAAATTCCAAGAAAAAGTAAACCATGGCCTCTCAAACCAGTTTAAATATCTGTTATTAAGATTATTGTTGGTGCTGAGGCCATTGAAAGCATTTTGGTAAATGGAGAAGGACATGCTTGCTAAGGAAATTGGCATTTTATGTTGGTTCAATTAAGAAAATAAAATGAAGTACTCTGAGTATCTTCACTGATTGTTCTACATATAAATAAGTTCCTAGGGTTCTGGATGTTTATTTGGTAAGGAAGCTTATAGTACCTCAGTTTGTAATTTAGACATACTTATATCCCACCTCCAGGCTTGAGTCTTTGATAACCAACTTTTCTCTCAAGATGAAATTTCATATGAAAACACTTAAGCCATGAGGCAAATATATTGACCTAAATGCTGACTGATTACAAACCTCATATTTGGCACATGAAAATAGAATCTCGCTCTCTCCTTCTCAACCATGAGGAACCTCCCTTCCTACCATGACTCCTCTCTGGCTATTCCCCCAGCTCCTTTTCGTGATACCATCTCTAGATTAGGATTATGTCTTTGTGAGATATCTAGACTTCTGTGAAACAGCATAAGGGAATCTTGTTAATCTTGTCCCCAGTGTTTCTAAAGGTGTCCAGTGTGATTCAAACTTCAAAGGCTGAAATTTTCTTAGATGACCTTAGCTACCTGATAATTTGAGATTTTGCTTTTCTTATCTTTCTTGTCCCAAGAGCATTTGACAACTTGCTTTATTTCATTGAGAGTTCATAGGTCAGCCAACATTGACCCATCCCCGGAATATACCACCCCTCAAAACTTTTTTTTTTTTTTTTGGCTTGGTCAATCTATCAGAGTTCCAGAACAGGTAATTGCAGACTTGACCTGATTTGAACGTCCTTGTGAAGAATCTGGCCTCAAAGGACCTCTCCAGTTCAAATAACAGGTTACAGAAATTCATCCACTAGGAAAGCCATTCTTTTGGGTTAGAGTGGTACTTTCCCAGTGTGTTCTGCTTCTGTGCTTCAAATTTAAGGGGAGAGTGGGGGGACAACAGATACATGAAGTCATCTCTGTGAGAATATTTTCTTCAAAAGGACGCGGACCAAGGGAACTCTGAAAGCACTGTGACCTTGGGGAGGAGAAGAAAGCTCTGAGATTCAGTGCCATGGAAAGTAGGGGAGGACAAACTTCTTTATCCATTGAAGAAGCCACATGGTGTCTTTCAGATGATAAGATTTAAGTCATCTACTCAGTGACTTCTTTTCATGCTCTCCCAGCCCCACTCTCCAGTCTTCCAAGCCCTCCTTGCTTCTGCAGCACCGCTCTCCTCTTCGACCCCCAACTCTCCAGGAGGGCCCAGGCAGTGCGGGCCTCTGCACCCGACTTCCTTCCCGCCTCTCTCCCACCGCGCGGCCCCGCGTTTCGGCTCCGCGCTTCCTCCAGTCTTCCGAAGAGGTATGAAACAGAAGACTCCTCCACTGCGGAATAAAACGCTTACTAACTCACCCTCAGTTGTCACCCTCTAGATTTTCCTCCCATGCTCAAGGCTTTTGGTCACCGCTGCATAAATATTAAGATCCAGAACCCAGAACCTGAAAAACCGACCGCTGATCAGTCCCGCTCGCTTCCCCGTCAGTGAAAAGCAATCCTATTCCGGCTGAATGCCCTGTGTCTAGCAGCCGATTCCTGGCCGACACACGCCCGCGCCGCTGTCCCCTCGCCGGGCCCGCGGGTCCTGTCACCTCGGGCTGCCCCCGCCTCTCTCCCGGGCCTGGGCCTCTCCCCGCCTCCCGCCCGCGGACCTCGCCGCCCCGCCTCCGCCGCGGCCGCCATTGGTGCCAATCCGCCCCAGAAGGGCGCCCATTGGCCTGGTGGGAAGTCATTCGCCCAGCACATTCCGCCGCCCGCAGGCTTGCGGGGAAACTTCCTTATTATTGTGACGCCGAAAACGGAGAAACCCCGAGCCGGGCCAGAGGGGCTGTCACAGTCGGAATCCCGAGCGGCGGTTCGGCGGCCGCCAAGGTACGCGGGTCGGGGGCCGGGGTTCCAGGGAAGAAGGCACCGCGGCGCTGCAGCCGCGCGACCGCCGCGTTCCGCGGGGCACGGCTGTCAGCGCGCGGCTTTCGGAGGGGCAGCTGCGGTTGCAGGGCGCTCCCCGCGACGACCTGGAGCCGGGCGCGCGGGGAGGTCGG